CTGCAAGTACTACTACCTACTACTACTACTGCCACTACTACATTGTACTACTACTACTACCATCACTACTACTACTACTACTGCTACTACCACCACCACTACTACCACCACCACCACTACTACTACTACTACTACTACCACTACTACTACCACTACTACTACCACTACTACTACTACTACTACTACTACTACTACCACCACCACCACCACTTTGCTTTTGATGACTCTATAGAATCAGGCGCTCGTCATTTTTTTTTGGGGGGGGGGCATATGGAGTTATTACTACTACTACTACTACTACTACCACTACTACTACTACTACTACCACCACTACTACTACCACCACCACCACCACCACCACCATCACTTTGCTTTTGATGACTCTATAGAACCAGCCGCTCGTCAATTTTTTTTTCGCGGGGTGGGGGTGGGAGGCATATGGTGTTATTGGTACTATCTTAAAGATTATTTAGTGGCGACGAGGCTCTTTCAGATCTCCGTATTTTCTGGTAAATGTTTACGCCTACTCAACTTGTAATTAAATTCTTTCACGTGGTTGAATCATACATCTGAAGTGACATGTACATTTGTCAGCTTTACTTCTCTTATCATATTGAATGTTTAAATGAGAGAAATAATATACTTAAATACTTATGTGTACTTGAGTGTGTTCTTACACTTACTGTCCTGTATTGCCAAGAAAAATTTCCCTAGTGGACAATAAAGTATTATCTTATCTTATCCATTTTATCTTATCTTATCTCACCTCATCTCATTTTATTTTTCATCTTTTGATGACTCTCTGGAATGAGGCGGTTACCAATTTAGGTCTCAATGGGTTATTGGTACCTACATTTTTCAGCTGTTTTAAGGTAATTCGTTTTGCTTTTGACATTAACATTTTTTAAAAATAATTTTTTAATAAGAAAAAAAAATACCCCTCCGATCTTGAAAAGAAGTTGATATTTTCGTGATTGAAAAAGGTGGGCGGTTGCCTGGTGTCAGAAGGGAACACTTAGCGAGAAAATGGCCGCCAAAGTTTTAGGACTTTCAAAGCTTGAGTGGTCTCTGTTACTGCAAATTTACATTCTGTGTGCCTTTGATCGAGCTTTGTACATGTAATTGTAAAATCCACACAGAAATGTCTTTTTAAATGTACACGAAAGGTGTCGTGACGTGGTGGAATCAGGCGCTCGTCAATATTTGGGCATACCTGAAGAGCCCAACTTTTATCTTGGACACCAACAAGGCATCCTTTAAAAAAATGTTTTTTTTTGTGTTTTTTTTTTT